CGAACGTATGCGTTAGTTTGGAGAGTTTATTATTTAATATATAAATGTAAGCATGTAACGGAACTCGTATAAAATCGTATAAATACCTAAAATTATTCATGAAACTGATCAATTTTCCCTAAGGAACAGAAATCAAAATATGAAAAAAAATCAAAATTTATACTAAATGAAACTGAACACATGACAAGATGTTTTCTATATTCATTGGGTAAAAATGTTCAGTTTTACGAATACTAACCCTAATTTCGATTTTTTATATCCATTCCATTGCACGATGCATAAAATGATCGTTAATCATTTTTTTTTTTCTTTATTTAACCTCGCATTTAAATTCATTAGATGTTCCTGCTTTTTCTTATATGATATAGCTAACTACAGTCTCGCGTGCACTGAAAGTAATTCTCATGGTCAATTATAATGCATTCACACATTCTTAAAGTCACGATCATTCGAGTAATGATTTTTAGTAGCATTTGATGCGAGAACGTTTTCTATGCGAATTTATGGGTGTAGCATACGGTTAGTTTATCTTTCATTCACTTTCAATAGTATTTTGTGCTAAATCTTCACCATTCAATACTAAATAAAAGATAGGTATTAACAAAAATCTACTTTAAATTGTATCTGTACTCGTATTTATCACGATGCCCCAGAAACTAAAAATTTACTTTCAGACTTGTTTCTTTTCAGATCAAGTTTTAAAACTTATTCATTTGCCTACATATTTCCGTGAGTTTTGTTCAGGATAAGATTTTAATCGTTTATTAATTAGCTATTAATTAGCTTGCAATTATAATCAAAATGTATCGAAATGGAAAATTATTGTAATCCTTTATAAAAATCTATAAACCCTAAGCAAAGCTCTATAGTACGTTACGTCACTGATCCGAATATACGAATACATACGCGGACATCTATATAACATTGCAATTTTTTTCTTTTGCAGTCGAGAAAATAATGTTGTTACTTTTGATTAATGTTTGGATTTACGCAAGATTGTTGCCGATTGTGTCTTGGCGATAGACAAGCGAGCGTAAGTGCAGTAACTATGTTCGTTCAGACATTGTATGTTCGCTAATCGCGGATATAGGTGTGCATGCTTTTTGTATCGGAAAGGCAAACGACCGCTACGGATAGGTAACCTGTCTCCGAACACAGTAGGCGTATAATGCGGTTATGAATCAACGCGCGACTCGAATAATATATACGTTGTCATTATTTACGAACACACGTTCGTGGCGATATAAACCCACAGCTTACACTTCCAGTGCCAATTATATTTCTCATCATCATCTCCATCATATAATAACTCTATTTTCTCGCTGCTGGACAAAGGGCTCCTTATAAAAAAGTGACAGTACTATAACCATGTTGATCAGGGAAGGTTTCATTTTAAACTTCTCTTGTTGTTGTTGTCTTATTTTTAACTTTTAACAAATCCCTATACTAGGCCGCTTTGTCAACATAGTGTGTAGATTAATTAATCTCCATATCAATAATAGACGCTCCTCTTATAGAAAAAAAAAAAAAAACAAAAACAGGACGTTAATGACTCGTTATGATGGATAGATGATTATTTTTTGTACCACTTAACTGGTAAACAAGCATACAGCCCACTTGATGGCCAACGGTTATAATTGTTTGGTTTGTACTATTTTGACAAAATTAAACCATGTTAACTAAAGTTATTCGGTCATTTTACCTACATACAAAACTTTAATACTCCAATAGCTGCAAGTTAAAAGAGTTTGCAAAAAAAGTAAAAAAGCGAAACGATCTGGCTCTTAACCAATTTTTGCAAACTCAATTAATAATTGCACTTTTTAGTTCAATTATAATTCCCTATAAATTTGACTACAAAAACTATTTACAACATTTCAATTTGTTATTACAACGTTTAATGTGTATTAAGACTAATTGGTCTCGACTGATTTAACTGTTGTAATAACTCGTACTAATGAGAAACCAACAATCCTATTGACTTGTATCCCAATAAGAAAACAATTGCTAGATTTGTTCATTGTTTACGTTGCTTCCTTGTATCCATATTGGTTATTCCTCGAGGAGCTCGTTATACGCTACCAGGAGCGGTATGTGTAAACGAGCAGAACAAACCCGACGCTAATTCTTGTTTATGAGGACCCTTGCTCCGCATAGATACGATGTAAGGCCTTAAAGCGGCCTCCGACAATCAAAGCCAAGTAGAAATAGCTACCATTCTTGAAATGATATGTACCAGTGGAATCACAATCCTACCATATTACGATAAATCGACATGTGAACCCGATAATTTGAATATATCGCTCATCTTGACCGCCTTCTTCATTCGTCTTCTATGAACTGACATTATTCTGATTCGTCTATTTGTTTTTTGACGTGTTATTAAACGCTATACATTAATATCACGAGAGGTATGTTGAGTGCTTTTAGTGACACGGATTTTAGTGCCAGCAAATATTCGTTACTTGTTATTATGTAGATATGTGCCGCACGGAACTTTTATACTTATTTTGCACACGAATTTAGTGCAGTGTAACAAACAGTTCCTATAAATTAAGAGCATTCGTACCGAACTCAGACAGTCTAAATTAACAGTTGATTTTGTTTATTTAATTTGCATATCAATAATACAAATACATACATTGACAACATACATTAAAAAACGAAATATAGTATTTGCATCAATTATAGACATTAAAATAATACATTGATACAAAACAGTTTTATAGATACAAAAAATGACGTAAATGAATTTTTAATTTTTAAAAAATTTAGATAATTTTCAACAACAATTAAACGTATTTATGATTGATTATTTCTGCAGACTGTTCTAATGAGGAATTAAAAGATTAATCATCGAAAAAAGATACATATATATATGTACTACCCACTTCATATTTTGCGTATGAAATTTTCTAATAGTGTCTTGCCATCATAATAAGTTTTCAATGTCTTACCAAAAATCTTATTGCATAATTGAATGACGATGAGAACTTATAATTAGTAATCATTTGTAAGTAATGTGTAATGGTATAAAAAAATCTTATTAAATAATATATTTATGTTAGATATTAATACCGTTACAAATTTTATACATTGCACGTACGTGAATTTTAAATTATCAACTGACGGAGTTGTTTTTTTACTTCATCATCATCATATCAGCTATTAACTGTCCATTTTTGAATATGGACCTCCTCCATAGACATTGGATGGTTTTGCCAATATTTTTTTATTTTCATTCATGTAAATATATAACGATATTCATACTAAACTTCAAATTTTTGCTTAATATAATAATCAATACAAAGGCGTAATGCCTTAGCCCTCAGAAATGGTAACATATAAAAGGTATAAATGGATATAACAGAGTATACTGTGTCACTCATGATGGGTGACACAGTATACTCTGTTATATCCATGGCACTGTTCATGTCTATAGTTTAGGTTACACTTTCCATCAGTTGAGCCGTTATCTTGTATGCCATTCTAAGTTGCATCAAATAAATCGAATATACTGTTATACAATTTTACTTAAAAATCTAAAGTAATCAAGATAAATATTAACTCACAGTGATAGTAAATCAGTGCCAACGAGGAACTGTCACCAAAATTTTGCTTGACCGAAATTCTTATAAGTAACGATTTCGTGCTAGATCTGGTATCAGTAACCGTGAGACCTACATTAATGTATCTTTACTAGGCTTTGCTTAGCTAAAACAACGTCAAATTGTCTGAATAGAGTCAATAATAAACTACGTGAGATAATGTCCCTGCTGCCGTTCTTAGCAAAGCGTTCACTCCCAACAAAGGAGTCCTTGTTCATGATAAATCGTCAAGTTTAGGACCATTCAGAACTGTCCACTTTATATACACAATACTTTGCTCCTACGCAATGACATTTTCAATCACAATCAATAGCATACAGGCAGATTAATCCAATATAAACAATTGAATCTTATCGGATGTTACCATGTATTTCATCTAAATTACATTAACCTGAGTACAGTATTGTTCAATTTGAAACATAGTGCGACTTGATTAATTAGTAAGTTCCAATTTGAAATAATGGCAGTCAATGATTGGATGTGATTTTAGCGGTGGTCCAACCGAGGTGAATGCTCGCCATTTGGGACACCTACTTTTTACTTTTTTGTTATTGTTCGAATAATTTGTATCTACGCCGGTGTTCTGTTAATAATTATAATAAGTCATACAGTAAAATAATATTAGGCCTACAATCATGCGTCAAGTTTAATAGCAAATTAAAATTGAAACACGAATGGAAAAGGCCTATCAGTAAACAATGACTCGCTGACTTCACTATTTTTTACATATTATAATTATTAAAATTTATAACTCATCTATCATTCACTGCTAGAGACACAATTATCTCCTCAAATTTCGCCAGAAATTCATACTCGCATTACCTTTATCGTTTCCCTGCAATTAATTGCTCACTCTGCACCTTTCTCATCCCCATAAGTAAATAGTTTGCCCATGACTGAATATTATTGAAATGAGTAAAAATAACAATATAATAAATCAAGTCAATATAATATACGCTGTTTATAAAATGCCAAGACAGGTTGACAATTGATTAAACTTATTATCATAACATTATCTCCGTTCGTACGAACTTCGTAGGAAGCTATTGTAGATACCACATATTTATATTTGTAGAGATGAAAGTTTTTTCCCGATAGGATCATAAAAAAAAATATTTATTTTTATTATTTTCTAACAAATTATCACCCATCAAGGGATGATTGCATAACGTTACTTAATCTCATTGGTTCCGACCGACGACCTAAAAGTGAATTAGCTATAAGCAATTTATAAAGGTAATCAACGCGTCCCAATTTTATAATTTACTTCACATCATTAGACTTAATATAAGAAAGGTCTACGAGGAAAATATAACGGGAACGGGAGTAGTATGTAATATGAAAAAGCTTAACGGCTTAATAAAATTATATTAATGAACGTATTTATTGCAGGTTGGCAGTGACGGCTGTATCGTGGCACCCGCAGTCTGGTCTCCTCGCCTCTGTGGACCGGGGCAAGCGGGCGCTCATCTGGGGCGACTTGTGACAAGCCTGGGACCCGCCGCGCCTCCCGCCACCCCTGCAACAGGTTAATAAAAATAGTCATCTATGACATATTTACCCTCGTAAAATGATGGGGAACACAGTTTTAGAAAGTGTCGGCACCTCTACTGTAAGGCGCAATAGCTGTATGTTATTTATTTTTTTATTTATAGTAAATAACTATTTATAGTTCAGCTCAATGAATTTTTAATCTAATTTAAAAAAGAGGAAAATATGCTATTTATTTTTCTCATACATATTTGTTATTTTTTAATACTCTGCGAAACGACAATTTAGCTAATTGTTTTTTTTTCGTAATGATTATTTTTGTGTGAAATAATGATGATTAATTATGTTAATATATTACCATCATCATATCTTCTAGAAAAAAATGTCTAATTAGTTCAAAAGTTCTCCGGTGATATGCTTACCATAAGCATATAGAACCTTATATAAAGGTATCATCTTTTTTCTAAAAAACAAGTGTCATTTGTTTTTTAAACATTTCAACCAAGTTATTGTTTTCTATATTTCACTAATATTTAGCAAAAATTTTGGCCACCAATGTCGCCTGCCGACGACAGGCCATTCTTTTGTTCAACCTTCCGACACTGGACTAACTCTCACGTGTGCACAACGGACGTGGGGGTCAAAGGTTTATTGCAGTCTACACTCTTGACACCATGTTCTGGTTTTGTAGCGCTGTGACGTGACTCCACACCGTGGACTGTTTCTACTTGACAATGACATGGACATTTAACTGAGAATTAAAATTATTACATAAGTAGAAAATGTCATAATAAATGGAGAAATTACCGCGCTATATGTGTGTGTGTGTGTGTGTATATATGTTACTCTTTTCTACCATTTTGCAAAATTTTTTATAATATTCAGTTCATATTGTTACCATGTCAACAATAAGTCGTAAACATTATAATGGTGTTCAACTATAAAATTAGCTAAATATTAAAAGTTCATTTTACTAACACAGGACCTACATTTAAATTATCTTCAGAAGATAGCGAATCCACGATAGCGAAAATCTGTTTTATAATTTGATAAAGTTATAATATACTATTATTGTAAACAAAAAAATGTTTAAAACTTGCCAAAATAGTAATACACGTATTCTAAAGTCTCTTTTTAGTTATTTACGTTAATATGACATCTTTTATTTACTAATAAATCAGTTTAATGTGTATTCGAAATTTTTATCTACCAAAGTTCTTATACGTATATATATCTAGATTTCTCTCAGCTCCTATTTGCACCAAACTGCAGACAAATTATATCTACCGTATCCCGCCATTATAAATGACCCAAAATATATCATAATAGGAATAATTGCGAAACACATATCTCTTCGTGACATTAAACTATTATAACCGCCAGTTTTTTTACGAACAAATTACATAAATCATATTAGATTAAAAACATTCTCAAGCTTGTAATTTAGATAATTACAGTCTTTACAAGCAAATATAAATGATAATGAAAAAAGGAATTATTATAACGTTTTGTTAAGATCGAGGCAAACGCACAATTTTATTGTTAAATTAATTTTATATTGTATATTACCATTAAATTATAGGATCAGTAAAAAAATAAATTCATTTTATATCCTTTAGTTTTTGCAAACATACATTAAGTCTCTCGAAGCAATCTGACCCGAGAGTCATCTTAATAAATGTCTCTCGGTAACTTTTTCTATTATTGTATAAACCGGCTATTGAAGTCGGTTTTTCCACAAAATTATGGTCAATCTGTTTTGAAATACAATTCGAAATGCCAGATAAATTCTAAACATTCTACGGAGTCGTAGCATCAAACTCACAAAGCATTCAAACCTTATAAATCACACAGTTAATGTAATTCAGGTTAGCTTTGACAATAAGTGTTATTGAAGCCTCTTAAAGCTCTATACTTGATTGATCGCTGATGTACGCTTAAGATTGGATATTTACAGGTATCGGGTTATTGGAAGCAATGCAATATTCGTATTATTTACGTCGTTCTTGGTTACTATTCTAATACTTAATTCAATTTTCTATTTTACCCTTTGTGAATACTAGTTATACAAACCATAGTCGTGCCTTAAAGATCTTTACGCCCTTTTTTTTATTATCTGTAATTGCTTGCTCTTGCTCTTTTCTTAATAATCTTCATTTTTAACTGTGAATTGTGAATTCCAATTGTAAATGTACATCATTGCACTCTTCATTAGATAGTGGAGAGTATATAAATCCCTGATATTATAGTGCCTTATATATTTGTTCCATAAAACAGAAATGCGTTCTTTATGTAAAAACTGAGTACACTAGTATAGTCAAGCCTCTTAATCATTAGGGGTTTAGGGCAACCAAGCCCAGAAACTTACAAAACGTAGCTTGTTTAATTCCAAAATTCTATTTTTATTATAATATCATATGGTTATAATATTACAGAAAATATTTATAAATAAAATATAGGAATTCTACTAAATTTGTAATTTTTTAAGTAGGCAATGTAGTAATGAAATCTAATTTTATTACAGTATCGATTAAAATATAAATAAAAATTCAATTCGCCACTTATTTCCTTACAAATCGACTAAGTCATCAACTGACCATACGGTATTGTCAACACTTACAAAGATTTCGTGCGCTTACCATCAAAATAGAGTGTCTACACATTTGCCACCCCTATTGTTGAAAAAAAATACAAACCTTGAATGTAGAAATTTAAGTATTGTACAATGAGACACAATACAATACAGCCAACAAGTGAAAGCGTGACTTTCGACTTTCATTAAGTTTTTGTGTAAGTATATGTATGGGCCTCGCGGACGGTCCATATTGTCTCGCGACATGAATCTGCGAACTATTCTAGATAAAGGTGCCAGCGCACTCGTCGTTCGACTTATCGAGAAGACGACGTGACTTATTTCAACTTTCAGTCATCTGTTCATTCGTTCATTACTTTCAGCGTCATTAATAATTCATTAATAATACGCTCACCTCTCAGTTGTTGTTGTTATTATGTTGGTCGAGTGCGATTGACTGATTTCTCATTTGGATGGGTAGCCATGTAGCATAGGGCGTGTAAATTTAAAACGATTTAAAAATTTATTTAGTGAAGAATGAGTTTCTCGGTTTTTGTTGTCATCGTTAGATATTGAAATTAATGGCTTGACAACTCTAAAAAAATGCTTAAAGAAAACGTTTTTTTTTTTATTTTTTTTTTTAAATAAATAACTGTAGTAAATTTTTCTATTTCTTACGATCATATATATTCTGATATTTTCTTAGTATAATGTTACACTTATTGCGTTTCTTCAAATTAATTCCATCTGCTAAAATGTCACCTGCGTCTTTGATACGCTATATTTATCTAGCTTAATATATTAATCTGTCAGTACTTGCTACCATATCAAATTCTTGGATAACGTTGAACTGGGCGCTATTTACCTCGCACGTGCCATCAGTCCGCAAGACGTTAAGAACGGTGATGGTTTGGCACAAGGCGACCACGCCGACCCACAGATCTGCTGTTCGCTTGATATAAGACCGTTGGCAGTACGCGGTGGACCATTCACGAACCGTTTGTCGCCAAAATGAAGCGGAAAATTTAATAGTCCATCGCGGTGTACGTGATCAGTATCGTATTTTTATTATACGTCCCACTTTCATTCCACACCGGGAGAGTACATACCTATTTGTAGAGGACATTTTCTTTCTTTTTATGTATTTTAATTAACTGCTATTCAATAGGAACGACATCTCGAAATGCCATACCAACCTGGCATAGATTTATAAGGTGTACTTACGCTCGAGTGATTTAAATTTCTTTAGTGGAATATCCACTAACGATTGTTTTGTAAAAATATTTTGATCTTGCAATTTATATAGAAATTACATATAATGTAAACTATTACAAATCTAATTGATATATTATAGTCACGATTCTTTATATTCTGTTAAACTAGTATTTATGTTAAATAGGCATGAAGCTATGGAAGATCGTGACAAAAATCCACAGTCGTGATGCTACATTTCTTTTTTTATGTTGTCTAATAATTCGTAACTTACATAAAAGCTTAAACATTGTTAAACTCTTATTATGCCTCTTTTATAGATGACACTGTCCTTTTTTTTTTTTTTAAATATCATTCTTAATGAGAAATTTATATCTACCAGTGAATAATGATAGGTAAGGATAAAAGCAGGACAATCGGCTCATCGTGATGAATTCACTAGGTATTAATCACTATGAGGGGGGACCGCGTGGAGGTCGACCTGATAAGGTATATTGCTAGCATTGGAAGAGCTAGTCCTCATTACTCACATCCCCCCCCCCCCCCCCAATATCGTAGCTACAAAGAAGTATGACGATAATGCCAGTGATGGAATGACTTATCTTAGTAAGGACATGTTACGTGGGGAAAAAAAAGTGATGTTTAAGAAAAACTTTGTATCTGAATTTAAAGGTCGAAATATACGTACCTACATATAATAAATTTTCGGCCGACTTAAGTTTTATGATACACTATTAAAAAATAAAAGTTAGGGCCGGTTTATTATCTATAAAAATTTAACAAGTGTCTCTACTGACCAGCGAAAACCACTTTCATTATAATGATTAAAATGTATAATGAGGCTTTTAACACAAAATTATCGATATACATTTCAAATTATTTTTTTAGAAAGTACATTTTTTTGTATCAAACATTCGTCTCTATCAGCAGCTCTTAAGTTTTGCTCACTTTTTGAATATAATAGTGCTTGTTACGTTGTAATAAATAAATAATACTCTATATTATTGAAAGTACAATGGACAGCCTTATCACTAAAAGTAATCTCTCTCTAGGTAATTTATATATATATTTATATATTTATAAATATTATATACTACCCATATAATATATATAAAAAACACGTACAATATATATAAAAAACAAGTACATTGAGAGACTAGACTAGTGATAAAGAATATTATATTAATTGATTAACATTCATTTTCCCAGTTGTCACTTTACATGTAAAATATAAATATTGTCTCTGACCAAAAAAGGAGCACAGTAACCTACTTTTGTTGCTACTTAATATGTATAGGTTTATAAAATCCTTTACCTATTAATACCCTTGAAATAATTAAAGGATTCCTTCTTTTACTTTGATGTATTGTACTGTATTTTCCCGATCGTTTTCCTGGGTATAAAAACGAGCGCTAACTACACTCCGTGACCATACAGATAATGTGGCATAATAATTAATTTTTGTAAAATTAATAAACTTGTATATAATTTATTATTAACCGTCTATCCATGTCCACAACATTGTCTTTTATTAAGAAACATCGATTTTGTCAATGGCAACGATAAAAAATGCGAATACACCTACATGTATTTGTATTTTTATTCAAATTGAGAATACCTATGTATTCTCATTTTGAATTTAAACAAATTTTAGTCGGTTTTGCGGACGTGTTTGCTGTTTTATGTTGACATTATAAAATAAAAAATAGCGGACTCTCTACGCGTATCATCTTTCACACAGTCCATCCATCTTTTTTTTGGGTTTCCCCATCATTTACATTCATCCATGCTCATATTCAACACCTGCTTTCAAACATGACTCATTCCTCCACGTGACATGCCCATAAGTAGACAATCGGTTACTTCATAGCCTCTCTGTTACTGGGCGACTTTCAGACTTCCTCGCGCAAACTCATTATTTATTCTGTAATTCTTTGTCATCCCACACATCCATCGCCTTTTACGACACAATTGTAATCTATCATCTTCAAATCTGACATTTATATTATACATATATACCATAACATGATTTGTGTCTTATTACACACTAACTGGCTAACTTTATTTTTCGTTAATGTATTTCGTTACTTTTTTTTTAATAAAAAGTGTAACTTAAAAAAAACAGATAAGTTAAAGAAATAAGTGGGTGTTACATGAGAATAAAGAAAAATTAAATTATAGTCTTAATTCATTATTAATACTCATAAACCGCTGCCATAACACACAAGTGTTATGCTGGAAACCATAGTGTTTAATAATTATTGAATTTATCACGGTGATGGGTCAACCTGCTTCATCTATCTATCATTCCTCACTGGTGCCCCGCCAATATAAACTGATAGTGCATGCGGGGTTACCATTTCACCCATTAGTAAAAAATCCTATAAGACAATCTGTAATATTATTTTTTATTTTTTTTTATTCACACAGACAAAGCCGCGATATACAATTAGTCAGCTAATAACCTACAACACTTACATATAAAGTCATGACCATAAATCTAAACACTGTCAAGACAGTTCGATAAATTAGATGCAATAGTTTACATCAATTAACTCACTAATTCGTAGCATCAACTTTACCGTAAGGCCGTCGCCACTGTATAAGCCGAAGATCGGTTCAATGTTACCGTTTTAGGAAAATAATTATATTTTTTACATACACTGAAGTCAGTAGTCGACACGCAACATCAAAAGAATTGACGGGGGGCGGGCTAATAGCTGTTATTAGTGAATAGCTCTGAGAAATCGGCAACAATGAACACGAAAAATGCCTATGTCCCATTCATTAATTTTTTTTTCTTCTATCTGTACCGCCTTTTTTTAAATGTGTGTCAGTTCTTTTTCTTATTTGTCTCTAATAAACGGGGCAATTTGGCCTCGGGCGCGACTAATATCATGATTAAATTATTATGTTCGCACGTTTGTGTGCTATCACTACATATATCATTTGCGTGTAACTTTCAAACGATTTACGTCTATTATGTTCATTTCGGCAGTAGACAACAGTAATATCAAATTGTATTCAACGCACACACACACACACACACACCAGTATGTGTCACTTATTGTAATTTGTAAACTTGTCATAAGTTTTTAAATTAATGTAGTTTTAATAGACTATTCGTTGATCTATGGTATTTTTTAGTTTATTACAAAGATCTCTTGTATAAGTGAAGTGGTAGTTTTGTATGACTCATCTCAATATTATAATGTATTCAAAAGAAATTTTGAAAATCGATTCAATATTGGCAAAAGTATCACTTACACACATACACACGAAAAAATACAGGCGAATTGTGAATATTCTAATTGTAAAAATCCCACCCTTATAAATGGCAAAGTGAGTTTATTTGTTACTTGTTTAGCGCATTAACGGCTAAACCAATCAATGTGAAGTTTAGTATACACGTACTATATACCTTCTTTAAGGTTATAGGTTACTTATATCCCGGTCAGTAAATATATCCCGCTTGCGCGGACAAAGTCGCTAAGAGAATGACGTTTTTTATCTATATTGACAGCAAGTTCATTCCAGAGCAGGTAAAGAGAACTGAGTACTTACCTAACCTGTATTCTTACTTACACCTTGGCTGCATACACATTCAAAACTCGTCTCATTCATCCCAGTTATTGACACTTTGACTCCTTCCTCAGATAGAATGACTTAAATAATTAATTATAACTTATTTGCAGACTGTCAAACAAGGGGAGGGCGATGAAGGCGATACCGAGAGCGGAGAAGTGTTCGACTTCCTACGAGGCATCACCACTGATATACTCCATCGGTTCTCATAGTGTCGCCAACGATGTACAAAAAATAACAACGTCCCTAAACTTGCTACTTCACATATCCACCGGTGTCAGTCACAACGCACGCCCAGTGAACTCTCAGTCTCGAATTACCATTAATTCTTTCATTTATCTTGCTCTTGTGGATATTTTAATTATAATAGCCCATAAAACCAGAACAGAAAGTTCTAATATATGTTTTTTTTTTTTTTACTTTTATATATATAGAAAGGCAACCTGATAACCTGAGTAATGGAAAATTATAGATGTCGCATACAGGCAAAATTAAAACAATGGTTATAACACGAAATGTTTAAAAGATACCAGAAATTTCTGAAAAATTTATTAAATGTAATCAATGGGGTCTATTCTGAAGCTTCATTCTGTTTTTTTATGATATAAATAATATTACTGATCACCAAGGATCAAATTTAAGTAGTACTCAAATGTATTGTAAAATTGTGTAATCTATTGTTGTTTATGCTTGTTTAGGTCTTAACACAGTTTATTTATGAACCTCATTCGACCTTTTGACTAGGTTGCACTAGCAATTATCATAAGCAGACTTGTATATATAGATAGGTCTCACTGGGGCCAATTCTGAGGCGATATTTCTCTGAACCAATTTCTATTTTTAAAATTTCAATTCGATGTCATAATGAAACTAATTTCTCAAAAATGTTAAGCCAAAATTGTTATAATTCTAGGTTATGATTTTCCATTAAACAGTCATTTTACGAAACTATCAAATTAAAATATTAGACAAAAAGATTGGTTTACAGAAATGTTGCTTCAAAATCAGTCCCATTATCATTGGTGTTGGACCCGACGAACCTCATTAAAAATATGTACTGAATGTGAAAGTTAAAAACTATAAATTTGATTCATATTGATTCTTACAATAATGATTTCCTTGCAGTTTTATTTTTAGATATAACTAATAACGCTTCAGAATTGACCCTTCAGAACTGAAATAGGATAATACAATAATCAATTTTCGAATGAGTTTTACTAAGATGAAGAAAATTAGAAAAATGAATAGCTAAGTAAATGTGATTTATCTATACATTATTATTGGTAACGGTGCTACGCGTCACAATTTATTTTGTATTGTAATTTAAAAAGCAACTTCTATGAATCACCTGACTCTCAACTCGGCACCGGAGGTTGTCAGGTTCGAATTTAACACGGAAATCGCTTATTGTACTGGTGATTGCACTTTTAATATATAGATAAGTATCTATGTAATTTTGCGAGTATCGCTCTCGTGTTGAAGCCAATTTAGTTTTTAAGTCGTCTTCCGTGAATTAGACATAATAAATATAGTTTAATTTCATTCCTTTTCTCGAACATAAGTTTTTTGTAACCTTTTTACTGTTATTAAATGATAATGAAATATAGAACATTAGTCAAACGTTCATTTCTCGTGTGCAGCTGTGTTGATTTTGTATTGTTGTGGTGTTTAGTGTAATATAATGTAATACGGTTGGTTTATTATAATATGTGTATGCCTAATAAAAATAAATAATCACATTAACTATGTGAAACGACAGTGCAAGTGATAATTAAAGCTTGCAATTTAAATATAGCAAGCAATAAAATTCGCCATTTTAAGCAGAGACGTAACGGGTTTTGAAGTCGAGAAACACGCAATGCATGTTGTCCATTGTTCTTCTTTTGTGGTTTTGCAAAATGAAATAACGTTATAATATCGATTCCTTAACGTGGTCTGTTGGTATCAACGTTATGATAATATTTATATCACATAATAACTAAGTGCCAAATTACACTGTCCAATATATTTGAGCGCATATATATTTTGGAGTAACTACTAAAAATTCTCAACGAACGTCCTCGAAGGAAAAATAAAAGACGGATAAAGAGTTGGAGAAGAAACAAGAAGTAATTATATGAATCAAATAAAAAAACAGATTATATAGAGAAGTCAGCAATATGGTCTAAGACATCGCGAAAGAGGAGCTTTGGAGAAAGATATATAAATTAGTTGCACCGATAGAATGAATCTTCTAAATTACACACACTTAACCCTTCTTTGCACGTTTTTTTTTATTGGTGAAATAAATCAATGTTATATAATTCATGTTCAAAAATGAAAAATGATTAAAAAAATAAATTTGACAGCTATGTTTTTTTTTCTCCAATGAACATTAAAAAGGTATCCAGACACGATCACAGTGAATTTGTTCTTTTATATGATTTTTGAGCACTTAATGTTATGATGGAAAATTCTACCATTATGCGAAGAAGAGTTAACACACTTAATTACATTTAAAAAGAAAAAGAATAAATGTCACTAACAAATTAATTAATTTAATCATAATTCAATATATTTGATAGTGTAATGTACCCCTAACTTTATGTCGATCGGATGAGCCACATCGAACCACCTGCACTTCCCGAACGAACTCTCTCATTAGCAAACAATGAGCAGGCGTTGGCGGCTACCACACGCTCTGCAGTTCTGGAGCCTGCGTCCCATTACCTCACAAGTCAAGAGTTACATTAAATATACAAAACAAGGTCTAATATAAAGATTTTATACGAATATTTAAATTTAATTTTAATCCGGTACCATTTGTATAGCTCTATTAGAACACAGCAAGTATGAAGGGCCATTTTAAAAATTATTGAATTATTAATCAATTGACCATCGACTATGATCTACATACCGATCTCTTGAAAGATATTCTGTGGGAGACACCATCGCTCAACTGCGTTATTTCATTTGATATTATACATATATATTGGTCATTGGAACAAATTAAAGAAAATAAATCTATGATAGGCTAACGTTCAAATTTCAAACTGGCTGCAGGTAATTCACAATAATGCCTGTGTATATAGACATCTTCATATTACCTGCATACGACGTTTAACAATTTATAAAAATAACGTAACAATCGAGTGATTTCAATAATTTATAAGGCTATTTCTCTGCTCATTTTTTTTATTGATCATATTTTAATATTTTCAAAGACTAATTAAATATTTTTTTCATATATGTCGTTTAAAATTTTTAAGTTTATATGTAACTGTGGCTTACTACACGTAAACTGTAAGTGAAGTAAGCAATTTATACTTAAATAGAATAAATTTGAAATACGGACGCGGGCTTCGGGTGTAGGCGACGATCAGTGAGCTAGTGAATCTATAACAATAGTACAAACAAGAGGCTCGCATTGCACACGCGCCGCCGGCCGCAGGCGACACATCTATAAACCCGTGACGTGTTTTGACAGCCGAGTTCGACCACTTTTTCACCGTCAGTTTTTACCAACCTTTTTGTCCAACAGTACAACGACCCGAGCTCTACTTATATAGCGTTATTTTCACATGTAATTACACCTATAACCAACCGCTTAATTACCCGAAACTTCTGCGACGGCGGGGCCTAGAATGCGATCAAAAAACAACTAATCCGGCGCCGCTTTTAAATTACGCTTCGTTAACTTACGTCTCTGCTAATAATAGCGTACTACTCATTTGCATAAGGACTATGAAACGGCGCCTCGTCTCTCTACATCATTTATCTTGCCAAAAAAGTGTCATATTGCATGTGATTAATTATTATTAAATTTTTGTATTCAATTGTCTATTAAATTAATATTTTTTTATATAGCAAAGAAATTCACGGCCCAACTGATGGAAAGTAGTAACCTTCGTGAGACATAAAACATCGTGGGCATTACAGTTTATAATATTAATGCTATGCCAGTCCTGACCACCAGAATGGCTTACATCTGATGCTAGATATTGCACTGAATATCTTCTCTTCTTCTTCTATACTGATATTATATTATCGATATTGCCAGCCTTGTAAAAACTAGTCAAGTGATAATTTTTTAGCGTACGTGGAATACAGGTAATTTCGTTTCGGATATTTTTCTAACGGTTCATGTATAATAAATATAATATGCAGAAAAAATGTGTAATGCTGACCATAAAATGCAAATCAAACAGTTATCTTTATGCATATATTACGCATCCAAAAAGATATTACAGTTGTTATATTTCTCAAAACGTTCTCGTTTGACATTATTATCAATTTATTGGTTGTAATCAATAGATATTAATTAAAAAGTTCTATTATTAACACTTATTTTGAATATAGCAACACCTATGAGAAATTATAAACTTGGCATTTCTACAATTTGTAATTGAATAGGTGCTGTTATATATGTACGATTTTTGTTACATGTAGATAAATGCATTAAAATAAATTGTATTCCAATTTCCCCTTCTAATTAAGCAACTTATCGTTTTTTATTCTAAACAATTTCGTATTCTCTTCAGTCTACTGTCAAAAGTGTTGTCTACATTATTGACTATCTTAGTACCTACTGCTATTCGGCTGGTATTAATGGAAAAATGTGCCTTTTGTTAGTTACTAAGACGGTAAGTACTTACGCACAATAATTAAATTTGTTTGTGTTGCGTGAATATACGTGAATTATGTATTAAATAGAATTCCAGCGTCCATGTACTCAACAATGTTTATTGTAAAAGGTTTTTCAATAAGTGCTGGGTATTTGTATGGGCGCTTTTGTAATTTACCATAGTATTTCATGGCATGGTTCTGTTGTTACAATGTACCAGGATCTAAATTGTGTCGAACTTTCCTATATATTCTCTGACGTACTGTGCTACAATAAATTACGAAAGCGCCTAATTAAAATAAACTCATTGATTATTTGTAATTTGATATTTTTTGCTTTTAAAAGCTTAGATAATCATAACATAGAAGCTCATTTCTTTTTTCCAAAAATTAAGATATAAACCCCTGGCAATATAACAGATGGCGCCATCCTGTTCAAACCAGATCTGTCGGAACCATTTCTTCCAATTACAGCTGAGAAATATTCCGAATCATATGTCGATAACGTTTACCATTCTATTATGGCAGTAATCGCTTTATTCTCAAGTTTGACATTAAAACGGATGCTGCCAGAGAAATAATCGATTTATTAAAAGAAAAATTCATTGGGTTTTACTCAGAGATAAGACAAAGCCTACAACGTGCATAATTTCGAAAACTTTTCAAAAATAAAATATTATCTAATTACAAATAATCAATATATTATTTCAATTAAAATATACCCGGTACCTATTGAAAATCCTATAAAATTTGTGTACTCTAATAAACTGCTAGATTTATGTTAGTCAATTCCGTTACTTATAAGTACATATATTTAATAAATTAGCTTTACACAAAGACTGTTGTCATTATAAATAAAACGTACATCACACACAATAAGTCAATGGAGTTAATTAATAAAACATTTCTTATTTAACATTAAGCATCTTCTTTATTAAGATCTACGTCGTTTCGACACTTTGACAGTAATATGATAGAATCGTATGTAAGTATTTATATGAAAGCATAATAATATAAAGCGTGTAATCCATTTTGTTTGACGTACAGCTTTAGTCACTGCTGTAACAAAAGACTTTCAAATGTTGTATACTTTAATATTTTTATATGAAATGTATTATATTGTACAGTACAACTGTTTATAATTGGTAGATTAATTCGGTCAGTCATTATATTAAATATGTACCTATCTACATACTGAACACTATTATAAGACGTGTATATTCAATATGGATATAAATATGTGTTATTATTTCGCACTCGTTTTATTTGAAATTAGTTTGTATTTTTTGTTCAATTCCGCGACCAGTCTATTGTTGGAGAGCGCTGTATGATTAAGTTCGCACATTCATTCAAGTCTTGTCAAATTAAGATTCATTTGACTCCGAGATGACCGTTACGTATGATTTATTCAGGTGAAGTTATTAACTCGCGCCATTACTTAGTACCGCTGGTCATCACCCATTGACCCAGCATTTCTCCAATTAAATAACCACCGCAGGGTAGACAGTTTTAGATACGCGAAATACACAATGAACGTGGGTGCAAGGGAGAGAATCTTGCTTAACTATGGGAAAGATCATTTGATAGTCATCTCCTCTCTAAATTAAATTAACGATGTACCGGTCGTATCCTGGCGTAAACAAAGTTATCTCTGAATATCTAAATTCTACGGGAAATACGATACAATTGTAGTTCTTACAAACAAATGTCATTTTAACTTTAAAACAAAAAGTTATTGTTCTTATTAAGAACTTAATTCTGCTTATAATAGGGTCGATTCTGAGGTGCTTTATTTAAACATATCTCTTAATCTAATATTATAATTTTACTATATTAATGTTTTATCAGCCATCATAAATTAAAGTCTCGTCTTAAATCTAAACATTTAATTCATTTAATTGATCCTTAGAATAAAATTTCACTGTGATATCAAAATAAAATTTTAAATTTAAAGATATTTTTTTTTCTTTTCCTTTCTTATGGCACGGCACAAAGATAAATTTAAAAAAAAAAAAACAGCGTCAAAAAATCGACCCCAATGACTAAATTTGCCACATTCCTCTATATAGCTTCTAAACTTGTAATTGAAATCAAAATTGTCAGCATGTAAGCGCCCAATAACACAAAAACCAGATAATAAACATCGAAACATTCGTTACTTATTCCTCAGGAACGCAACATAGAATAACACAACTTAGTTCGACAGGCGGCGGTCGAGTTTTGAATCCGGGATCTGACTGACAAAGCAACCTAGATATCACTGATAGGCATACTTTTTTAAACAAGAACGACTCTGTCAGCACTATAAAAAAAATATAAGTCAAAGATAATAAATACACCTCGTTATTTATCTAAGCTGTAAATCCATTTCAATCAACTTGTTCTTAATTTTCATTTCTAATTGATTTACAAATTTATTTAAAATATTAGCTGTTGCCCGCGACTTCGTCCGCGTTTCCGTCGTTTTTCGTAAAATAAGTAGCCTATGCCTTCCTCGCGGTTCAGTGGTTTTGATGTAACGGAAACATTTCCCTTCACTGCTCTGCTCCTATTGATCGTAGAAGGGTGAAAACTATACTAGAACCTGCCCAGGAGTATGAAGAATAATTATACCAAGTTTCGTTAAAATCCGTCGAGTAGTTTTTGTTTTTATAACGAACATACAGACAAACAGACAGAAATTTTAGTGATTGCATTTTTGGCATCAGTGTCGATCACTAATCACCCCCTGATAGTTATTTTGGAAATATATTTCATGTACAGAATTGACCTCTCTACAGATTTATTATAAGTATAGATATATAAGAAGACGAAACGAATATGGTCGCATTACCGCTCTCAACTTTCTTTAGTACAAAAATAATGAGATAGGTGGGTATTGCGAACAAATTTATTGATTTCGTGTCGTTCCGATACTGCCCCGTTAGGAAAGCGTGACTACATTGTTGTACGGCAATGAACATGTTAAGGCAAAACAATATCAAGATTCCCTAAAAAGCTTACCTTCTACACATTCCTTATAAATTGGCATTGCCTGTTCCCGGGTCTTCATCAACATAATCAAAGTTATTTATATTTCGATAGACAGACCATGAAAATGTCGTTTTTTCGTAAACATACCCATTCAAGTGGTAAGTCAGCCATGTCCCAGAGATCTATAAATGCCTGATCGTTGCTCAAAGCATAAAGTTATGCTTCGCGCAATACCGATTCTGATATAAAATATTGACATGTAAACCAGCTCCTAAATTGGCTTATAGACAGTGAATTACAAAATATCGCTCAAATTTACCATTCTTTGTAATGGTGTACATGGATAAATCTAATTCGGCTACTTTGGATTCCATTACTTTTTGTAGCCTCCCTAACTTTTTACACCGAGAAATTTCCATTGCAAGTCAATGCAGTCAAGTTAAAATCATTGGTGTAAGTACAGATTTTCAACTCTGTTACTCATTCCAGCTCTACCTAACAGTTTTTTAATGGATGAAACTGGAATGGTAGCCTTACCTGCGCTATCGATACACTCTGACAGGCACCAGTGAGAGATGATGGGTAAGGATCAAAGTAGGTTAGTTGACTCATAGTGGCGAATTCAACAACGATTAATCACGATAATTTCCAGGAGAACCGCGTGGGGGTCGACCTGGCTGGACATATTACTAAGAATTCACCTTCTAGTCCCCACTACTAACAATCCCTCACGAAAAGGCAAGATAGTTAACCCCTCGTGCTGAATTCACTTGGAATTAAACACGATGGTTTCCAGGGAAGACCGCGAGGAAGTCGACCTGACAGGGCTAACAATAAGCCATTACTGAGGGGAAGGAATTGTTGTATTGCTAATAATGGATTTGTAACTTCTCCACTGCTACCAATACACCCTGCAAGGTCGACCTCCTCGCGGTCCTCAATGGAAAATCTTATTTAATTCCAAGTAAATTCATCAGAATGGGCTAACTGACTTGTCTTTTCATTCGTACCTGTCATCCCTCACTGGTGCCCGCCAGCGTATACCGTCAGCACGGGCGGGACTACCATTCCATTATCGTCCATTAAAGAATATTATATTTACAATTGTATTTTTGCTACCTAACTTAAAAATACACACATAATGGTCTCGCATCCAGATTTTATCGCAACGCAACATTACCACATGGATCCTAATTTATTTATAATTAGTAGGTGCTAATTTGAACTACTGAACGGATATAAATGAAATTTGATATTTAGGTGTTTGATATAGTAATTCACGTAGGCAAAGCCACAGGATACAGTTAAAAGAAATTATATTCCATATATTTCATTATCATCTTAGGTAATTTATGTGCTTGTCAATCACCATCTACTTTATTGCTATAAATAAATGTCATGTTATATCATAATCTACACATATTATTCACATAGAGTATGGAATTTAATTCTCTGCGCAAATTTATACATACCCATGACTGCGCATATCTCAAGAACTTTAATTTTTGTTACTTGAACTACTCTGAAGTTGTTTTCCAAATAGTTTTTATTGGCAAATTTTTGTAATAAAAGCATTAAACAATATATAAAATAAATACCGTAGTGCAGTGAAGACAATTTCCAAATTTGATTAGTGGTAAAAAATATACATAGGTGCATACATACATATCTGTCACACCTGTCTCCCATTAGACTAGGCTAAAACAATGGAATGCCAAGTGCTTCGATTCAAACAATCCTCTTTCGCTTCTTCCACATTCATCAATCTTCTCAAACACGTTCGCCGGTTACAAGTCCTTTTAATTTAGCCCTTCATCAGCATATCGTCTATTGGGTCCACATATGTCTGTGTAGGGCGGTTCGTACTGACATCTCCGTTCTTCTTTCATCCTTTATCTCCAAATGACCAAACCAACGTAACATTCCCTTTTCGATTTTTGTCACTACATCCTATTTAAAGCCACACTTCTTTTTAATGACAGTTTCTCAATCCATCTTTAAAAAAAACTTTTTTCATGAATTTAATACTTATTACAACAAAAAAAAATTGGAAAGATATTAATTGTATCAAAATTAAACACTTATAGCAAGTTTTAAACTATGTATATAAACTATCTACAAAAAGCACACACCAGAGGGGGACTTTTTACAAAAGTCGATTGCTTGGGTACCTCTGTCCCATTCGTGTTTCTACCGTGAAGCAGTTGTGTTTGCATGGCTGTGTTTCGGTTTGAAGGGTGGGATATGGCGTGTATTTACAGGGTACAGAGGAATAACACCTGAGTCCTCAGGAATGGTAACGCATGGGGGGTATCATGGGCGAAACAGTACACTCTGTTATGTTCATGGTACTGCTCATGTCTATAGGCGACGGTTACCACTTTCCATCAGGTGGGCCGTCAGCTTGTTTGCCATTCTAAATTGTATAAAAAAAGTACATATCTACAAAAAGAAACTTAGTCCATTATTCATAAAAAAATTAATCCTCTTATACACCTGTTTTAGATGTTGAAGTGTTTTTCTTTTTCAATTTCACTAAATTCTTAATTTGAAAGATAATTAGAAGAACTAAAATAGGTTGGAAAGATGTTTTAGTTTTTTTATGAATAATGAGGTTAACCTAAATAAATACATTATTATCGTACTCATAGTTAAAGCTAACATAGGTGTGCTATGAACATATTCTCGTCGCTGTTAATATGCATGTAGGTATATATTTATACATATGGCTTTTAGTGATTCTTTCGTTTTATCGAGATAACATCTTGACGGATGTAGACAGGGTACAACATTACAATAGTCGAGATATTTTCCTCTAATGGCCAAACCAACATCGGCCTCAGTGAAATGTACGCCCAATAGGTGTCCATTGATGCTTCAGCGAAACCGATATGCAGAACAAAAATAACAGTATTCGCACATCGTTTGTATTAGTTTTTTTTTTTCTTCACATCTATAAAAACTATACAACGCGAACCTATTAAGTTGAGCAAATTGGACATAGCATCGTAATTACGACGTGCAATATTTAGGTAGTAATTACAGGGGTCTAGGAGCGGGTAATTGACAGGTGTAGATGTTTGGCCGGCTGTCGCCGCGGTGACCTACTCTAAACTTGACAAGCACCCGTTGGCCGACTAATGTGATCTAGCTGTCTTGCCATAAGGACTCTTAACCACGACACGGTCAGTATCAATACTCATTCCATAGACCACAATCTACATCACAACCATATATATTGGCATGCTCGCAAATGGAAAAATTCCTTTAGGTATAAC